CAAATGGTGTCTCCAAAGGCACAGGCGTAGGGCCGTTGTCCATTTTAGTCTACACTGGAAACCGTACCGGCAACCTCACTAGCAGTGTAGTTATGTTTTCTGACTAGGCAGCACCGCAGACAACCGCCAAATCCGACTAAGGTAGACATGGACTTCTAGGGAACCTCAGCCGCTCTATCAGCTGGTTTACTTATCTGTCCCTATCTGGTGGAATGTATAGCACTCGAAAACCCCTTAACCATATACCCTGGTATATAATAGTTCACCTACCCCTGTTCTCCTGTAAGGTAGTTTCTCAATACACGTTTGCACCTCACCTAACCGGAAGACCCCCGAATAAAACAGGATATCCATCTTTCCATAGTTTTTATCTTAGATAAAACTCGCATGTCTGCAAATGCGCTACGCGGGAGGTTGAAACTTCGTGTTTGGGGAATAGTAAAGGACCTTTTGTATGTGGTACAAGAGAATCGGCTGATTAGCTTTATCGGCCACTACACCCGCACATTAACTTTCTGATATATTGAACTCAGTGTCGAAAGTTGGGGAATGATAGAGTGAATGAAGTTATTTACTCGCGTGTTTAAGCGATCGCATTTGCTCCTTCTGAAACCCCAAGAATTCGTCACGCAGCCCACATTTGCCCTGCCACCCGCACAATATTTGGGTTTTAACAGAAAAAGAGGGTGTTCTGCCTTTACAGCCATGAGTGAAATAAGGATCATATTTACAATATAGTCATTGAGCCTGGCCATTAGTCCGCATACAGTACAGGCCGATAGGACTACATTATCCAATTAGTTGGCAGTAATTCTATGTAGCAAGCTAGTTCTCAAGTGAATTCATCGTAAACATAACTTTTGTTAGAGGCAGATGCCCATGCTGTCTTGGATTGCCCAACTACTTCGACCTGAACGCAAAATCCGTCAAATTCTTCCTGCTTTATCACCCCATATTCATTTCGCATTTGAAACTGCAGTCTCTATACGAAGAATGTGCACTAAGTTGACTATATTCCAAAGTGTTTGGTGTCATGTTCCGTGCGGCCGCTCTCAGTTGAGAGGTTAATTATACAAACAGCCCAAACTTTGTTAACTATAAACGCTACTGAAAACGAATTAAGTAATACGATTTGATTACTAGGATTAGTAACAGGGAAACGTTCAACGCTTGCGAATGTGCACTTAATAGAATGACAGCACAGATTAAATTGCTGCAAAAAATGTTTGAGAACAAATAACGCACGGAATTGTTGCATATGATTTATTAGCTTAAGACCTCCGGAACCGAATGATGCACACGTAAAATAATTCATCTCCTTAATGTGCATGCATCGATAGAGTTCACGGATATCTGGCTTTGATAGTTGAATTAAATAAGGTTATTTCTGTTAGAATTGCACTGACATTGCCTTTAATTTTATTCGCATGAATAGGATATTGTCCAAGTTTTGCTTACAAAGATTTGGTCAATTTACTTATTACAGTAGTCGCCGGCTATTAAGCCCACCTCGG